ACAACAGTTGAAGGCAACTATGTAGGAGTCTCTGTTCTTGTGCAGCATTTTTCTCGGCTTATAATATCTAGTACTGACAGATGACCCATTTGTTAATGTCAGCCTTATTTTTTTTCTTGTCAGATTGACTGGAAATATATGCTGACATCAGAAAAAAGTTCAGTCAAGTTTTAACACTACAGCTTATGCTACATTGTAGTTTATTGAACATTCTGATTTATTTTAAATCTTTTTAATGCTGGTTTGTCCAGAATATTAAACTCAAATTTTGCCTCAGTGTCTGATACAATAATCTTCAATGCAAGGGTTTTTTTAAATTAAAAGTTATTTCCATAAAATATGTGGAGTCTGTCTGAATTTGATTAGCAAGGGGAGTATTTAGCTTCTCTTCATAGGGCTATAACCTAAAAGTAGTGGTACATACTTGAAGACCTGTACATCTGTACTTACAAACAAGCTCGCATGCAGCCTTAGGCAGGAACATCTTAGGGATTTATGGGGCTCTATGCAGTATTATTAAACTCATGCCCCTATGCCCAATGGCAACTGGGATGGGGGAGGAGTGATATTTTAGAGATTTTATAATCTTCAACACCACACTAATATTTTAAAGCAATTTTTAACTAAGGTCCGTCTGATAAACTAACATAGTAAATTCAGACACTGACTGTACATTCCTGGGGTTGGCAAATGCCTTTTAAATGGCTTCATTGCCACCTGAATGGCTCTATCACAGGCTCAATATTCTGCTAATAGCACTGGCAGGCTCTCTCACTTTGAGTTAATTAGATCCTCTCCCAAGGAAGCAGAGACCCAGGAGGGCCCCAAATCTTCAGATTCCCTATGCAGCTGCATATTCTGCATATGGGTAAGGATGACCCTGGCCTTGGGAGCAGCAAGAGGCACAAATGGCAGTAAGCAATGCTCTCTGGAGGACCAGGAGCAATTGCACAACCAGCAGCTGGAGAAGCAGCAAATTGCAGGGAAAACTGCCACTTCTCACCAGCTGCCCCATTCCTTGGGAGTCCTTTGGTCCATGCTCACGCTGCTCAATGCCTCCTGCAGAGTGGACCCGGGAGGGGTGTGGTTGGGAGATGAGGAGCCAGCACAGAGCCTGTGGGGATGCCGAGAAGTCCCCTTAAGAATCTCCACCTTCCTCCTCATCCACCTCTAATTAAACCTGTCTTTCTGAAGCACCAGCAGTCAATCAAGGTTAAATAAAAAACTATTTCTATTTTTCATTGCAAATATATAGTATTTTAGCTAAATTATGGGTCAAATACACTTTTGTGGGCTACCATTTATAACGTTTCAATGAGAAAATATATTCCAACTTCTAAAACAACCAACCTACAAAGAACTTTTGGAACATAGCCGTTCGTAAATTGGGAATGGTTTGTATTGTGTTTTGTCAGGGTGAGGTGAGGTTTATTTCTTCTCCATTCCCTTGCTCCTTCAAAGTAAAGATAGGAGCAGCTCAGATTCTGATAGTTCTGTGATGAGAACTTATGTATAACAGGGCTACTCAACATGCGGCCTGTTAGTTTGTGGTCCATGGTGAAGTTTGAGTTTACAAGGGGCTCAACACGCAGCCCGCGAGTGGGATCCTTTGAACATGGTGTCCACTGGGAACACATTCCCCAACAGCGAGGCATCTCACAGGTGGAGCGAACACTGAAAGACGCAAGCAAATGGGTTGGCTGGAACAGACAGGTACAGAGTGTCAGTGTTTCTAGCACCCAGGGAGGAGGTGCCAGGAGCGCATTCTAGCACCCAGGGAGGAGGTGCCAGGAGTGCATGAGAAGTGCTTTGTATTCATGCCTATCTGTGTGAAAGAAGCTATTTGCAGATATATGCAACCACACTTAGGTTGCGGCCCTCGGCATGTGCTGTAAGTATCATTGTGGCCCCTGGGGCGCCCAAAGTTGAATAGCCCTGGTATATAACATTGTTTGGTACCTCCTACTCCGATTTGTATGGCTGTATGAGAAGCAATCCAGGTGGCAGTTACATGAACTCCCTGCATGCAGGACCTAGGAGAACTAGAGGTGAGAAACACTGATTTAGTTAATGAAGTCTGAATCATCCAGAATGCTGAAGGGGAAAAAAAGAGAGTTTTCTGTTAACATTAAGAGAATATTTTAAAAATGAAGTAACCTTTTGAAAAGAATCATAGGAGATTGGGTATGCATGAGACCTCAGGACGTCTAGTCCAGCCACAACTAAATCATTCCACCCAAGGCTTTGTCAAGCTTGCCCTTAAACCTTGAAGGAGGGAGATTCTAACGTCTCCCAAGATAACCCATTCCAGTGCTTCACTGCCCTCCTATTATCCAACCATGACCTCCCCCACTGCAACTCTCTGGCAGCTGCCACCACTAAGCACAGCTTAGCTCCATCCTCTTTGGCAGTACTACTTCAGGAAGTTGAAGACTGCTGTCCAATCTCTTGCTCATTCTTTTCTGCAGCCTAAATAAGCCCAGTTCTCTTCCTGAATCATACACTCCAACCCCCTAATAATTTTTGTTGCCCTCTGCTGGACTCTCTAATTTGTCCACACCCTTTCTGTAGTGAGGGGCCTGAATAATGGTAAATAATCTTTTCCCCTCAATCTGCTCCTCCTATAACATAACCCAATAGGGCATTAGCTTTCTTGGGAATGTCACATTCATAGCCAGCTTATGTAATCCTCAGGTTCTTTTCTGCAAAAGTAAAAGTTTATCTGAGAATTGAACCCAGGACCTTGGGTACTCCAAGCAAGACTCCTACCCATAGATGAACAAGCCACCTTTAATAGGACAGCTCACAGCACTGGTTTTCAAAGGATCAGGATAGGGGTCTTTTGATCTATAAAAATCACTATAATAGGGGCAATGCAAAATTTTCCCCATCCTGGTATAATAGCTGCTGCCTCATGAAATGGCCTCCATCAATTTCCTTCCTTTCCCCCAGCCAGTTTGTATATTTTCACATGCAACTACTTTCTCAATTTTATCTTTTAGCTATTGCATAAAGACTAAACTAGCTCATCCCCCCCACCACCACACACACACAATCAGCTATACTGTAAACTACTGAGCAGTATGCAGTCACTGTTGGACCTATGGCTCAATTTATGTAGTTGTGCTTTGTTTACCATTTTGGATCAAAATACAAGTCTCCATGGCCTGGTTGCAAGAGGTTGCGCATCCTCCTCTCCTAAATCCATGACCTTCCTCAAAGCATGGGAAAGGCAGACAGGCCTCCAATGTGATCAGACCCTATTTTCTGTATTATTTGGGTACATGCTTGTAGCACTGTCCTCTGTAAGACCCATACACCCAAGTAAGGACTGAACAGACATCTTGATTCTAATTTATTTTCCTTCATTGACAACAGTAGGCAGGCTGGCCCCTTCCCTTGTCACAGAATAGCAGTTCTCTCTTGGCCCACCCGTGCAGCAATGCGCACATTTGTTTTAGTTCTATAGTCTAGATGGCAGCTTTGTTGGCTTTCCACTGGAACTTTATTTTGGGACAAATAAGTCTTAGCTGGCATTCATTTTAGGCCCAGTGATATCCTTCCGCTTTTATTTCTGAAACGTTATGACATTATGCAATCCTAAAGAAATTGCAGCTATAGAAAAGTACAGTGTTTCGTATTGGAGGTCTGGCAGGGTGAATGTGCAGTGTGTCTGGAAATTTAATTTAGGCATGAAAGTTTGAGCTAGACTTCTCCCTTCATTCAAAATCTAAAAGACTGCATTGTGTGGTTCATTTTAATGTGAAAGTACTTTTGCCATTCAGATGCCTAATCAGACTGGGTGTCTTCCAGGTCAGAATGTACTTTCATGGATGTGGTGCAGCTACTGTTTTCTATGTATAAGCATATCACTTAAAAGTAAGTGCAGCAAAGCATTCCGGGACCAAAAATTGTCATCTTTACATTTGTTTGCTAAGAGTGAGAATGTACAGTTCTTACAGAGTAAAATAATAATGTAATTAAGCCTATGTGAGAGTAGTAATCTCTGTGGTGACTAATAGCCTTACAAGGGGCTATGATAGTGCAGAGGTCACACTTACAAAGAACAGGGCTAAAATAGGAATACTCAGCCTCTCACTCTGCTTGAGAGAAGATGAGATTGTATACATGTCCACCTCATCCCCAAAGTGAGTGTAACCTAGGCTGGCAGGCCCATTGACCAAAAAAAAGGAGTGCCCCTCCCCACCCACGTTGCTCTAGTTTTGGACCTGACAAAGGATTCAATTACATACTTCCCTCAGGGCAGAGCATAATATTTTTAAACTGAAAGACTGCATGGCCTCGTAAGTGATGGCACAGGACTGCTTGCAGTTCAGTTATGGAGTGAATGTTTGTTTTGGGGGTGTTGTGGGAAGGAATATAGCAATTAATTACATTTGGAAAAGCACAGCAAATGTGAGCTAATGATTCCATATTGACAATTATCCCTAACTTGGTTTTGGTTCTTTCTAAACTCTAGCTGACTCACTAACAGCATTGAGGATGTCATGGCCCAGTCTTCAGGGCTGCCTCTACAAGCCTTCTTGTGGCCCCTTAGTACTTTTTTTGTGCAGCCCCTTTGCAGATGCATCCTCACATCAGGTTTCACTGAGGGAGCTAGAATGGCTATGTTTGCTGTACATACCTGTCTCAGTCAGTGAACTTATTTCAGAAAAGATGCTCTTTCTTTGGTTGATCCTGGAGTGCCCATATTATTGAACAGCTAATAGATGAGTCTAGTTTGCCGTATGATGACTTAGAACAGAGTTTTATTTTAAACACTGAAACAGTTTTGTAGGGATGCACAGAGCAGACATTCCTCCACGCGATATCCCTTCTCAAGCAAAATCGCACAATTTTGTTTCAATCCAATCCCTGGTAGCTGCTATAAAATGAGCCTCAATGCAATTTGAGAGAGAGCACTGGCTGATTGTATTTCCAACCCTGGAAAAACAGCTGCTCCCTTCATTGTTCATTTCAATGAATGCTCAATTCTTCAGTGCTGCAGTCCTGGCTCAGCAGCTATGTTTCCACATTTGAATAGGACCCACTCACACAAGTTGGTCTCATCGGTCCAGGGAGCGCTTCTGAGCAGCTTCTGAACACACATTTCTCAGGAGGTTGATGACAGATCTAGGATCTTCACTTTTCATTATAGCACTTCCAGATACAATCATGTTTGCTCCTGCCTGGAAGAAAGTTAAAACAGTCAGATAGGGACTACTAGCACAGAGTATTGAGATTAATTAGTTAAAAATTCTCACTGAAGGACTGTCTGGATATGTGGATTCTCTACTCCGACCCTATGCCACCAGCACTCCCAGCTATCTCCGTGAAACCACTAATTTCCTGAGAAAACTACAATGCATTGGTGATTGTCCATAAACATCCCACACATAGATGGAATACAAGCTGTCAGGAACAGTACCCCTGATGCTGCCACAGCACAACTGGTGGCTGAGCTCTGTGACTTTATCCTCGCACACAATTATTTCAGATTTGGTGACAATATATACCACCAGACCAGTGGCACCGCTGTGCCCCACAATATGCCAACATTTTATGGCTGACCTAGAACAACGCTTCTTCAGCTCTTTTCTACTCATGCCCCTTCTCTACCTACGCTACACTGATGACATCATCATCATCATCTGGACCCATGGGAAAGAAACTGAAAGAATTCCACCAGGATTTCAACAGCTTCCACCCCACCATCAACCTACAGTCTACACAGGAGGTCCACTTCCTGGACACCACGGTGCGAATAATTGACGGTCACATAAACACCGAAAACCTACCAACCGCTATGCCTACCTTCATGCCTCCAGCTTCCATCCCGGATACACCACACGATCCATTGTCGACAGCCAAGCACTGAGGTACAACCATATTTGCTCCAACTCGTCAGACAGAGACCAATACCTACAAGATCTTCACCAAGCATTCTTGAAACTATGCTACCCACACGAGGGAGTAAGGAAACAGATCAACAGAGCCAGATGTGTACCCAGAAGCCTCCTGCTGTGGGACAAGCCCAAAAAAGAAACCAACAGAACACCACTGGCCATCACCTACAGTCCTCGGCTAAAACCTCTCCAACCCATCCTGGACAATGATCCCTCACTTTCACAGGCCTTGGGAGGCAGGCCAGTCCTCGCCCACAGACAACCCGCCAACCTGAAGCATAGTCTCACTAGCAACTATACAGTGCACCATAGTAACTCTAACTCAGGAACCAATCCATGCCACAAACCTCGGTGCCAACTCTGCCAAAACATATCTACACTAGCAACACCATTACAGGACCTAACCATATCAGCCACACCATCACTGGTTCATTCACCTGCATGTCTACCAATGTAATATACGCCATCATGTGCCAACAAGGCCCCTCTGCAGTATCAGGCAAACTGGACAGTCCCTACGTAAAAGAATAAATGGACACAAATCAGATATTAGGAATGGCAATATACAAAAACCTGTAGAAGAACACTTCAGTCTCCCTGGACACACAATAGCATATCTAAAGGTAGCCATCCTGCAGCAAAAAAACTTCCAAGACCAGACTTCAAAGAAAAATTGCTGAGCTACAGTTCATCGGCAAGTTTGACACCATCAGCTCAGGATTAAACAGACTGTGAAATGGCTAGCTAACTACAAAAGCAGCGTCTCCTCTCTTGATATTCACACCTCCTCGTCAGCTGCTAGAAGTGGGCCTCATTCTCCCTGATTGAATTAACCTCATTATCTCTAGCCTAATTCTGGCCTGCATATTTATACCTGCCTCTGGATATTTCCACTACATGCATCTAAGGAAGCGGGTCTTTGCCCACAAAAGCTTTTGCTCCAATACATCTGTTAGTCTATAAGGTACTACAGGACTCCTTGTCGCTTTTGCAGATCCAGATTAATACGGCTACCCCTCTGATAGTGAAAATGCTGTATTAGAAAAAGTAGGCAACTATTTTCCTCTTGCCACATGCATGGACTCCATTAGATAAGACTCTCTCAGGACAGGTTGTGAGAGAATTACTCTAATGAGAAAAGGGTATTCTTTCACACA